CCATACTCACAATAACCCTCAATGGTGAGGGGAGCGATGCTTCCAGAGTGTGTCAACAGAGACACACGAGTTGAGTGGAGCCGGGGTCCCGGGGTCCCGGGGTCTAAACCAACTCAGAGAAAGGGAACGAGATCAATAACGCGTAACCATATATAATACATTAAAGTTTTCTAGATATCAAAGTGTGTACGTGTGTGTGTATATACTGAAAAAAGCAGCTTTATAATATACTAGTAGTGTAATGCTAATGCATTTCCAATGAGCTGAAATACAATTGAAATGTACTTGAAGTACATTAAAACGATGCTTCAAATATACTCTAACTGTAGTTCATGAAGTATTAAAAGAACATTTTAAATGTATTTTAAGAAATACACTTAAATTGCACTAAATATACTTATATAAGTGGTTCCAATTTAACATAATTTCAATTTATTAAATATATTACAAATAGATTAAAATCTAACTTAAACATATCTTGAAATACACTTAATATACTTAAAGTTGTTTCAAAATAATACATTTAATATGCACTTAGTATAGTATAATTTAAATATAGTAAGTATGTCTGAAAAAGCACAATTTAAATATATTTCTTTTTCACCTGGGTAGTCATTGAAGTGATGCAATTGAATAGCGAATTAATGGTGTAATTCTAGCCTAGCTAACTAGTAATTCACCACTGCCTGTGAAGTGAATGTGCTGTTTTGATTTGTGAATGAAGTTGTAAGCGATACGTCACTAGCTGTCCCTCACCAGCTATTCACACCTTACATGGTCTACAGAGCCGTTCCCCATACAGATAGCTTACCACCTCTGTACATACTTGCATCTGCCTTCTGCTTCTCTCGTATTCCCACAAGTGAGCCAGCATGTCTCAAACATCCAGCCCTGCCACCCACCAGGACCATTTGGAGACCCGGCAGAGCACTGTGATGGACATCCTTCAGCCCAAAGCAGCCAACGACCTGCAACGGCTGAGAAAGGAGCAGCGAGATGGCAACACAAGTGGACACTTGACACCTAGCCTGAACCACCAGGAGCTGACCAGCATCATCTTCTCCTTTGCCCACACACTCACCCCTCTAGGGTCTGAGGGTGTTTTGGGGCCCTGGAGAAGTTTTGACATGCCCTGACATTTTTGCTTTTTTCAGTTGCTTATAAACATATAAATGGCTAACGTCTGATAACACTGTAATCAGCACAAACTGGGCTACAATAATATGTGAACAGCATGTATGTACATGATTGTGTTTTTGAGAAAGCAATGTTTATGCATGGTTAGTGAAAAACTACAAATTTTAAATCACTTGAATAAGGCCATAAAACACATACAGAACATTTGTTCACAAGACTTTTGAGAACTGACTCTTGTAGACTAGAGTTTTTGCTTCAAAATTATGTGAAAATTATCCTGTTCATTCATTCACAGAAAACAATATATTCATTTAAATTTTCTAAGACACTATTTGTGTAGAAAGGGTCTATGCGAGGAGGCATGAATGATCATGAATTATAGTGTGATTCACACCTGAGAAGACAAAGGCCCGCATAATGAGCTGCATAATGAGCCTTTCAGTCAGGTGTGTGACTGAGAGGGAAGAGTTTCAAGAAAGAATGTGAGAAAAAAAGAAATGTATATATTTTTTGTTTGTAGTTTATTTAGAATATAACTATCACACAAAATAACTTGAGATTCACTTGCGAGTGCAGTTAAACAGTTTATTAGGAACAAATAAACACACAAGAGTCAAGATGTTGTGGGTGCAATAGGCTATCCAAAATATCCAAAACAGTGGCAGGAAACTTGAA